AAGGTGGAATTGTCCGTTCTGACCAGAACATGCTGCCCTCTCAGAACGGCCAGAAAATCAGTGCCCGTGAGACAGCTTGGAGGTCTAGGCAGTTTACGTGAACTAACTGCATCTGTGAGCTCTATGTGCAATTTACTGTCCTGCCTTTGTCTGTGCCTCCCCACCCCACTAGAGAGTCATCTGTTGTAATAACTTCCCTTGGCAGGATAGTTCCCATGGCAACACCTGTAGTCAGAAAAGCCGTGCGTCTCCAAGGGCGCAGAGCTAAGATGCCCGTCATGGAAACAAAACCTTTAGGTGCGTCAGGTTCAATTTCAGCAACACAACCCACTGCTGAACCGGCCTCATGTAGAAGCAACCGAGTGGAATGACTACCAGCGCTGATGCCAACAGCCCAAACTGCTTTAAATATATTCTGAACTTTAGCTTTGCACCCCTGAGACAGACAAGCCCGAAAGGCTTGTATATTCTGTCTTTATTCAGAACACACAGATCTAGGACCGGCCGTTGACCCCTGCCCTTATTTGGGACAAGAAAATACCTCTGATCTAAGGGTAGCATCCAAATAGCTCCCTTGTTTCGCACAGCAGTGATTTCGTCCTGCAAAATATGAGCCTCCACTCCCTGAGCCAGCAACAGCAATATAATGAGTGAATGAAAACTGGAATCTGTAACACCTGGTTACAGTTATTATTACCCAATCTAATCCAAAACATGCACACCACAGTTTAGCTCAGTCCGCCAGTGAACTGAGAGGTCACTCTGCTAGAGGCCTGAGTGCGTGCCAGAAAATAATTGTATTAATGACTTTACTGGGGGCTGGGGGTAGACACCACTGTAGTTCACCACACCTTTTCTTGTCATCACAACTACCGCTGGGGTGAATAAGCTTTTTGGGTCCACAGGGACGTCGAGGAGTTGGTTCTTCTCCTTCTGAGAATGTCTGGATAGGTTTAGCCATTCAGCTCTCTCCTGACCAACCATCCGGGCCGTGGTTCTTCCAGAGGCCTGGATAGCACACATTGTTAAGACACAGGCAGAGGTCCGTCACCACACAAAATTTGTTCTACAGGTCTGGGGCAGGTGAGGTTAACATAGTGTCTAATTCAGCCTGTTAGGCCGGCAGCACTGACAATATGATCAGTGCCCTCACTGACATGAACAGCACCTGGCTGCCTTTTCCGGTCAGTGATGACTGAAAATATTCGGCTTTGGAAGGCAGGACGAGCCTGCCAAAGTCATTGTGGACTTCCTTGTGGGGAGGAGGTGAGATGCCAGCAGAAGTTTGACCAGAGACAGGTGGGAAAAAGTATTTTTTCCCATGTTAACTCAGTCCAAAGTCCACCTTCCTTGGACAAGGCTATTGGCAAAAAAGGAACTGCTCCATTCCCGGGTCACCTCCCCCAGGCACGCAGACACAGTTGCGAGGTCTGTTAGAAGATCTGACTATAGGTAGCCTAACAACACGTGGTGTCTTGGTGGGGACTTCAGGCCATGCAATGCTAAACTTTGCCACCTTACTTTTGCAGGCCTTGTTCAGGTCCATGCTGGGAGTTTGGAAATCCCATGCACATAACCCCCCCAAGCATTAGCATAGCAGCCAGTTAGAGGATAAAGGCTGCATCACCATTCTCCTTGTCTAATGGACATGTCCCATGAGTCAGAGTCGATCCCACAATGTCACTTTTCTCTGACATCAGGCTAGCATCGTGTTCGCCAGCCAGCATTGACGAGTCTTGTAGAGACGTGTACAATGCTTACAAGTAGCCAGGGATACCATCGTGGCCAGCATACAGGCACACAACGAAGGCCTTGGCCGGTGGATTGCCTTTGGCCATAGCAAGGGAAGGTTCAATATATCATATACGAGAAACGGTAAGCATTTAGAAAGATGGGCTCCACTTTAATCTTGAGAAGCTGAAGAGCGCCAGTCTCCATTCATTATTACTTACGCTGTAAATTGAGGCTTTTTGAAGACCATTCTCTTTCTCTCTGCCAACAACTGCATGCACATTATGGTTCCTTGCGGGTCTATTTCAAGTAGCCGGCTACTTAAAAACGATAAAATATTCTTTGTGTGGTTCATCAACGGTGATAAATTATCCGAAAGTCCTGTGAGGTGCGGACAACTCGGCACAACACCAGTGAAGCTGGGGGTCGGTCTCTTCAGCAAGTGTTCCTCTTCTGCCACTGCACACATACACGCTACACCTACACATGCGCACTGATGATCCAGGGTTAGGGTTATAATTTTGGATTTATTTATGTGCTTTAAAAACATTTATTGAAAGTTTTATTCTTTTTACATGTTTATTTACAGCATTAAACAATGAAATGTATATTGTAATAGGCTATTTATTAACTTATTGGGAGAAAACTGGTATTTCTATGTAAAATCAGACGTTGAGCACCCCCATATCGCCAAAATGGCACGATCCTTGTTTCGCTGCGAAGCTTCAACTGTGAGATTGACAGTCGAATCAGGCTCCGCCCTTTGAAGCATCGAATCTTCGAGGTCAGCCCTAGTAGATACCCAAACAAATGAAAGAGAACTGCCTATTTGCAATGTCTATTTGGCCAACTGGTGTGGATCAATTGGGTGGCAGCAAAGGAGACAGGTAATTTAAAGAAGTAAAAGCTGTAGTTAGCAACTGTCCAGCTCAGCAGATAGTTTCCCACCAACGTGGACCCCTGCTTGGCACGATGTCCATGAGGGCAGTTCCACAAATACAGGAAATAAAAAACAAATTGCTCAACCAGTCTTTGCTTATCTTGCTCAAAGAACTGGTATGCATGAGTTTATCTTTGAAAACTACATATTGTGATAAACATAACCCCAACCCCCTAACTCTAACTGAATGAAAAACTTGGAATTTAAATAAATAGTCCTGGTTAGGGATGCACCCATTCAACTTTTTCAGTCCCAATACCGATACCAATACCTGAGCTTTGGGCATCAGCAGCCGAGTACCAATCAGATACCAAATAATAAGCTGCATTCCTCACTGAGGGAGACTGGAATCATTCTTTTATGTGTCAGGCTTGATCAAGAGTGAAATACCTCGGAACTGCTGACCCCTTGTTTATAGCTCCCTCCATGTTATGTTCTCCTAGTAAAATGTTCTGGTCTACTGGCGCACTGCTGAAGCATCATGTAGTACGTGCGTAATTTAACTGATTAGATTGGCCCCCTTGTCATCGATACATGATCCAGCTATCTGAGTCAGTATCTAGCAGATATCAGTATTGGATCGCTGCATCCATAGCAATGGTAAAATTTTACTTGAAAGAATGTTTGTGAAGAGTTGTCTGATGGAGATGTTCTGTTCATTTCTTGTACTCTGTGAGGTCCTGTTTGTCCCTAAAATCCTGTACGCCTGGTTGTAGCTGAATAACACAAACTATATCAGCCCACTAAATTTTACTCAAAGAATCTGCATATTCTTCAGGTATGTAATGTATTCAGAAAATAAAGGTTATTCAAATTATGTTAAAGGAAGAGCCTGTGCTCCCTGATGAACATATTGTGCAACGAGAATTAAACTAAGTTTATTAGTGAAACACAAAAAAATAATTTCTAATCGCCATCAAATGACAGATTGAAAGTACAAAGGGTATTTGCTTGAGTTTCAACATTCTGTATATGTGTATCTGTGAGTGTGTGTGTGCACAGAGTTAGTGTGCTCCAGCTGTTGGGATCCAGTCGCTCTGACTTGTTGAGGACCCTGGCTCCCACTAGTGCAGCACACAGGCCCAGAGGTGGTGAGACATACAGCGGCTCGACAGAGGAATCAAGGGACAGAAACAGATAGCGATGGAAAGACAAAGAACAACAGAGCAATAGCTGAACCCCACGCAGCTGCTCTTGTTCTTCAGGGAACCTAGCCGGGAAGCATCGCTCAAGCGCCTAATTCCTGTAATGTGTGTAGTCATGCGATGCGCAGGGTGGGGGTGAGGGATTGCTGCAGCATCAATCGCGCAACTCCGAAGCTGTGGCTGAGAGACTGATGGAGGACCAGCCTGACTGGGCCTGGGCAGCTGGCCTCTGGCCACTGGCAACTGGGCTAAATTGAGACAGCCAGTGAGACCGAACATGCGGAGACATACCACCCTGATAAGCTACAGACTGTTAAGAGGCCTCTCAGCATGCCAGCACAAAGTAAGAGAGGTACAGGGAGGCAGGAGCAGAAGGTATACGAGTTAGTGCGAAAAGGTGGTGGGGGGTAATATCTATATGGGTGACTGACTGGGCAAGGAGGACTCAGGTGGCTTGAGTGAGGTGAGAGGACATGAGACTAAAAGTAGGCAGTCAGGCTGTCAAGTATCGGTGTGAACACAACCTGCTGCAAAACAACTCAAACTCACATGATTTTACAGGCAAGTTGCATGCAAAATATTATTTACTTTTGTTACACTGCTGTTCAGTGTCAAAGATGCAGTATTCTAATTTTATGACACTTAGAAGACAGGAAGAAAGGCTCTGTATGACCTAATCAGCTTAGTAAATCAAGGGATGAGTAGCTATAGCCATAAGAAATTATGCCTGTAACACAGAGAGGTCTCACTCATCACATACATGTAGGCTGTCTCTACACTGAGGATGACAGGTTAAGTACAGGGATCCAGATGACCACTGCCACCAGGGGGAGCAGGTGTACTGCAGTCAATTCTTGGTAAGTAGTTGGATCACTGACCATGTGAAACCAGGTAAGTAAATTCATCTATATTCCAGGTACTAAAAAGTCATGGATCTTGCAACAAGACAGTCAGTAAAAGTATTGTATACAATCATGGCTGGTGGTACTACAGAGAATTCTGTACCATTAATATCTGATTATCATAACAAGTTGTCTGTATTCCCAACCGATCATTTTCTACCTCAAGTGAAGGCAAAGTTGCTAAATTAAAGCCATGTTTGCAGACAACTTCAACTGAATTGATTTCATCCTTGACGAAATTGCAGTAAGGATCTGTCTAATAACAGCTTTTTATCTTCTTACCTAATGTTGCCTTGACAGAGTGCTTTTGTAAAAAGTCCAGGGTCTGAGCCAAAGCCTTCTTGTTGCAGTGAGTGGAGAGCTCCTCATTACATTCAAAACACCTGTTACAATGAAAGGGGGTCATAGACAGACAGAGAAAGGCTTTACGTTACTGTGGAATTTGAAAACTCCAAGAAACTAATTCTGAAATGAACCATTATTTGAGAAAAGAATTTCTTGCATAGAGTGGATACCAAGTTATTGGTAAAGACATATTATAACACACACCTACGGCGTATGATGTGCATCAAAACACCTACTGTTTTCTATGTAAGCCCACCCACTGGTGGGCTTACATTACTGTCATCGCATTTCGACACACGCTGGTAGCGTGTGCAGAGATGGCGTTTAAAAAAAAAATATATATATATATATATTTTTTTTTTTTTTTTTACAGTTTACAACTAATGCAGTTATGATTTCTCACCAGGCCTTCCATGAGCTCAAGCTGATGGTGATGCAGTGAGACTCTGGATGGAACGCTTGGTGGTGCTTGACAGCATGGTGGATTCCTGACTGGTTACAGCTCTGTAAGATAGTTAATTTAAAACATTTTAGTTAAAAATCACTTCTGACAATATACAATACACTGTATATGTATTTATCACTTGAATTGCTTTACAAAAAGGTATTTGTCAAATTAGAACAACACTTTAGGGTCAATTATTGTTTTAAATCATCTAAATTTTAGATTAAAGCTAGGGTAAACAATTTATTTCAGAAGCATTTTTGTTGAAATTCTCCTTATATCCTGACAGCAATCATTAAATCAAATGCTATAATAATTAATTTAAATAACACATTTTTATTGTAAATGCACTTCTTCAATTTTCAAATCCCCCCGTCATTGTTTTAATGTTTTAATGTAGTATATGGCTTTTATAATTAAAGAAACAAGAAGACAGCATGTGTGCTTGCCTTTTTGTAATTTCTAATGTAATAATTCACTGGTCAACACTTTATTATGGGGCTGGTCAAAGTGTTTTGGTGGCTGACACAATATTGAACCGTACATTAAAATAATTCAATAACCACAATATTCACAAAACGGTTACTATGGCTGTGTCCAAAATCACCCACTACTCACTATATAGTGGACTATATAGTGAGCTATATAGTGAGCTCGCCATTTTGTAGTGCTGTCCGAATGTATAGTGAGAGTTATTTTACCCTATGTAGTCCACTCAATGTATCCCAGAATGCATTTTGAAAAGTAGTGTAAAACCGATGGTCACTAACCAAGCCATATATACCGTCATGCATTATGCATAGAAAAAAACTGATTGTCCGACTGCAATGACGTAATTAACGGCAACAAAATAATGATCGGAATAGTGTCCGAAAGTGCTGCTTTAATAATGCGAGTGAGCTCACTATATAGTCCTCTACATACAACTCCCTACATAGGGGGTAGGTAGGAGTGAATGAGCGGGGATTTCGGACACAGCCTATATGTTCTTATTGTCCCTCTGAGTACTGGCATTGTGTATAATAATCTAAGATATCATTAATATCCGGTATATTGCTCAGCCAGTGTGTGCTATGTATTGTATTTGCACTGTTTAATATTGAAAAAACAATTATTACCTGGAAACCACACTTTAAGCACACCAGAATGTCATGGGATGCTGCTGGCTCTCCATCAATCATGGTCCTCTCCTTCAGACACTCAGAGCACACCAACCACACACTGGAGAGCACGGATTTCTTCACTGAGCTCAGGTCTACTGCCTTACTCACATGCTGGCAAGTCAACCCTGATTAAAAAACAAAATATACTGTAATTATGATTTCACATTCCAATCACTTTTAGGTTTGTTTTTTTAAAGGAGACAATGTGCAGAGCACCTGCTATAAATTAAACAAGGAAGAACATCCCAAGATAAATTCCCTGCAATGGATATTCCGTTAGTGTCATGGTACTTTGTTAACATTCAACTTATCGCCTTGGTGTAAAAGGATATATTCATAAAACCCCATAGATCTACAAAATAGACAAAAACACAAAACACACATACAACGAAAAGTACCTGATGAAAGTATTATTGTGTGTCGTACATATGTACCTTACTTTATGAGCATAACTAAAGGAATATCCCATTCACTACCCATAAAACTTCAGTCTGTCTGGTGCCCTGTACTGCTTCAGTGACTTACCACTGACTTCATCTGATGACTCCTCATCTCGAGGTTTCCTCGGTTTATTAGTCCGCTTAGTCATATCGGCGGCTTTCAAAGAGAAGGGGTCCTTTAGCCGCATCTGGAGCTTTGATTGGGAAGGTGGACGACCACCATAGGTGTTACTACACAAAATCACCATCATATCAAACATCATCAATAAAACTCAACATAACTGTGTTTAAACAAAGATACTATTACTGCCATGCTCATTTTACTTATTCTAGTATACGATACTACAGTGCAGTCTGGAAGTATTTGTGCAGAACCAAGTATTGTTGCATTTGTATTCAAGCATAGTAGATTTAAAATGAATAAAATGTCTGAGTTTACAGTGCCTTCCATAAACTTTATTTTGAGAGTATTTACCTTTGTAGCACATGACGTGTGTAGGAATTGTAGCTCTTTTTATACATAGTCCTCCCTTTCAAAAGCCAACATTAACTGGAAAACTCGACCTCATCTTCTTTGATCTATTTGCAAATCCTACGCAACAAATGGCTGCCTGAGGTCCACATCCTACAGACATTAGCAGTTGGTTTCTTCCCTGGTAAGGTCAGGCCTGTTCACTTCTTTCTTGGTTTAAGAGGGTCTTTGCACCTCCACTGTTGTCTTTAGCAAGTGAAACACCTCAAATGGATTGAGGTGATCACGGGCATGACTTGGCCCTAATAATTCCATGGTGGCTCTTGGTTTTATGATAATTATCCTGCTGCATTATCCTAAAAGTGGGAAGTCTTGTTTTAAATAATTTCTACACTGTTAACACAATATAACTTTACGTGGGGCCACTCTCAAGAATCCTTAAAGAGTGTCACTTATCTACAGAAGTACCGCGCCAAAACAACAGAAAATGTGCAACCTCAACTGTCCAAATACTGACAAACTGCATAATGTGTCAGTGAGAATACATATAAGTTAGCCATTCAAATAAACGGTGGTTTTATATTAGGACAACTAATGTAGTAAGTTAACGGTAATGGCTAGGACACGGTTAAGAAGCCTCAATTAGCCTGACCGTCCAATTTAGGTGAGCATGAAAGACTTTTATGTCATTTATCAAAGAAAGAAAAAACTGTCTGAACTCACCTCTTTATTTTAGCTCCTATGTTGACTAACGTTATGTTAGCTAACCTGAAGCCAACAGTGAGATGTCAATTCTTCCTGGCTAGCAAACAGGCTAACTACATTAGCTCGTCAGAATAAATAAAACATTAACAGGTGTGTTTTATCCAACCATACACGGAGATATTAAGGCATTTTAAAGCAAAGTACACAGTGCCGACAGCAACTGAACAGCTGTCTTCATAATAAATCGTTTTTGCCCATGACTTTCTAAATTCTGTCAAGCTTTCGTTAGCATCAACTAGCAGACCTAGTCAACATGTGACGCACTACGGCAGCTCAGCTTGGCCTAATGTTGCATTCACGAACAATGGAAAATCTCACGAACAGAGGCAGAGTGTCGCAGTTTCTGAGGCACTCAAGAATATTTAACGTTTTATAATATACGTGGAACTACAGAGTGATCAGTTAGTTGTCATATTTTATTTACAGAGACCAAACATCTGGACTGTTAGTAAAAAGACAGATCAGGAAAAGCAGGTGCCCTACTATGATTGCAAACTGTATTATTATTGTATGTGATGTTGCCTGAAGTCGCTCCGTTTATTTGATGTAGAGTGAGTGTTATCATCAACACACATAATATTCAAATTCAATACTTTATTAACCGTCATAGGGCTAAGCAGCCATTTAGATGGGGTGGCTACGATAGTACCTTTGTTTTGATTGCAAACAGATATAACTTAATCAAGATCATAGCAGGTGATGCTCTGAATACATCTTAGGGTAATTTGTTAATTAAGTGGCCTGGAAGCTGAAGTAATACAAAGAGAGCCTCTGATACCGGCATGGGACATGTATTATGAGAACTGTAAATAAATCAATGGTCCGATGTGGACGGTGGTGTGATTGTCACTTTTCCGTGTCTTTTTCACGACCACGAATGCCTCAAATATTATGTCTTTAGTACTTATTTGGTGCATTAGTTTGAGCTACTTGGGGCACAGACTGCTTATTTGTGTTGATAATGGGCTGACCGTAGATATTAGGTCAATGACGGCTTCCGTTTGATAAGAGGTCTTATCTAGCGCAGAGAGTAGTTTTGTCCTTTAGGTGATCCGTACTTCTGCGCAAGCGCAAACCATTGCTGGAAGGGCGATCACGAGTAGCGTGACTTTAATGGTCGTCACCTACGAAAATACGGATTTATGTTGACGAAGTGTTAATATAATTTGTAAGTACTCTCGTATGGCTCTCAGAAGGTGTTGGGGGGTTGCAGGAGTTGTCCCGCGGCTGTTATGGAACAGTTCCGTCCTACCTGGGGCTTCTGTCCCGGGAGGTCGAAGCTCTGTGTCTCAACCCCACTGCAAAAGTGAGTTTTACATTTACCGTTTTATTCATGTTTCCGCTTATTTACTGGCCGTGTGAACTGGTTGGCTCGTGACGCGCTATCATGTCATGAAACTATTCACACAGAGTTCCTGCTCCGCGGGTTCAGTTCGGCGCCACCGAGCACAGATGTGGGCTATGAGCAGCTGAAGCAGCTCCTGGCCAGCCGGAAAGCTATAATTATAGATGTGAGAGAGCCCTGGGAGCTCAGGGAGTACGGCTTCATCCCTGGGTCAATTAACGTTCCCCGTGAGTAAAACACACAGAAAATTACACAGAGAGGTTGGTAAAGTCAGACCTACTTGTTAGACCACAATAGTTTGTGTTGCCTGCAGGTCATGAACAAATATGGGAATGCCCTAAATCATGTAACGTCAGTCACACAAAGCACATGTACATCAAATAATATCCATAGGGGTCTGTGCCTCCTTGATGGGTGACATTCCTTCGATAATCCCAGGTACACTAGTAGGTGTCTAACTGGACCTGTCTGTGCTTCTTTGTCTTTGCAGTGGGACAGGTGAACACTGCCCTCCAGCTGCGTCCAGAAGAGTTCCAAGAAAAGTATGGTGGTGAAATGCCCCAGCAGACAGACAACGTTGTGTTCACCTGTCTGGCAGGGATCAGGAGCAAGAACGCACTCACCGCAGCCGCCTCGCTGGGATACAAAGAGTGAGACATGTTTCTGTGGCATATATCTGTCAAAGTCATTGGTTCTCACCTCATCGTTAAGTCCACAAATTATTGAACTCTTGTAGTCATGTATAGCAAATGTTGAATAAGATTGTTATTCTGTATTGTTAACGTTTACCCTTTTTTCAAATCTGAAACAAGAGAGTATTAAATTTGAGGTTATTGACCTGTTGTTATATAATGCCAACCTCTCATGCACTGCTCTTTTGAGAGCTGCCACATACAATATCAGAAACATCTCCAGTATCTGATAGAAAAATAGATATGTATGTTATCAAATGTGTCATATTGCTATGTGTCTGTTTATGCAACAGTTGATAAACTTTCTTCCTTTTTCTCGCCATTTCAGTGTTCACCATTATCCGGGTGGATGGCAAGACTGGGTGAAAAACGAACAACATAACTGATCCAGGGATAACGGATCAGAAAAAAAATACATTATTTAAAGTTAGGGTAGGCAATTTATTTCCAATGCATTTTTTGTGATATTTGTTGAAATTCTTTTTACATCCCAATAAATCAAGTGCTCTGACACAAAAATGAAAACAATCCGCTATCTGTGGCTGTGTTGGACTGTAATAAGCACGGCCAATCATTTCAGGCCTGGAGGCCTGAAAGAAGTGGGTGGGATTTTTTAGGTTGGATACTTTCAAAAACTATCTGTCTCTTGTTAGTTTCTCCAACGTTGCCTACCAGCTTTAAAGCTCTTTTTTTAAAAATGAGATTGGATCAGACTGGAAAGTGTGTAACACATTTAAAAAAAAAAAAATTCAATTTTTTTGTTGCAATGATTTGAGTTCTTTTCCTCATCTGTGAATCCCAAAGACACATCAGCAAACACTGCTGTTAAAACTTTTCAAAACCACTGCAATATTACTTGAAGTTACTTGAAGAAATGTGTTTTAGCATTAGGGTTGGGCTGATAGACGATGCTATTATCGGCCATGGCTGACGGCTGAGCCGGTGTTCTGTCGATTTATGCTACCTATCGAGATATCGCCAGAACACCGGCATCGTGATTGTAACACCCCCCCCCCATCTAATTTTTATAAAGTCGCCTAAAAGACTGAGAACTCGTCTTTTTTCTGTTTATTTCCACAAGCGATCCGTTATCACGGCAGCAGGTGAGCCGTATGTTGGCTTATTAATGACGTAGCCTATCAAACAACTGAAACCACCATCTGCACCCTGTGTGTTCACTGTTGTTTTACCTGTTCTGTAAAATCAACCGCGACTTGTAACGCAAGTTAATACATCAATTTACGAGATACCGAGTGAAGTCTGAGCGAGAACACATGCACATAAGACTGCTGCCCCCGATTACATCGTTTTGTAGACGTCACCCAACTCTATTTAGCATATAACTATTTATAAAGACTTAACAACTTCTAAACAAATATGTAACCAGTGACTATTCTAAACGTCACAGCAAATAGTAAGACAATGACGTGCTAAATGTTTGTTTCCAGATTATCTATGCAAATATACTTTAATGTGTATGATTGTCTTCCATTGCATAATATGAACAGTTCAACATTTTAAGTTGATGTATTGTAAATATTAAATACCTTTTTGCTCAGAGATGGAACTGTCTGAGCAGTTGTAGCCGACGTCATTCAATAAATAAAATTTATAGTTTTGATTAACAGTGATTTAGTTTGTTTTTTGTGATCATTTTTTTCTTTTAAACTTATGGACAATGTCCAAGAGGAAGTTTATTTGGATAATTTGTGATATAAATAGACATGGTGTGGCTTGCTGAGGTGACAGCCGCTGGGACAAAGATGATGTACGTTATTGAAGGTCCATTTCTAATATCCACTGTGTCTCAGTATGAATTTGCCACCCACCCTCCAGGGAACATTAACAGGTTCCTTCATCATCTGTGATAATGGATGTGTTTGCTTTCAGCTGAGAAAAATGCCTGTACTACAGACCACTGCCGTGGACCTTGTTACCTATTAACTTCCCCTTGTACAGCTAGCTGAAAGTCCAAATAGGAGACAAGTTACATTCTCCTGATCAGTTTAGTCAGGACTTATAAATGGTCCAAGTGCGCCACAAAACTTAGAAGCAGCTTGTTGATACTGAATCATTGTCGCTGAATAAGGAAACTGACCTAAGTGACTTTCCAGATGCATGAGTTAATAATCTGGCTCAGAAGCGTTAATACTATTTCTGCTCACATTTAACAGTATTTTCCTAGCAGGCAATGGAAATCCCACCTTATTGTTCATATTAAAAAGTCAAAGCAGGTCTGTGGGTCTATCATTTGACCTGTTAAATTAAGAAAACATAAAATGCAATAAAGGATTCTGTATCTTGTGTTCATTAGCCATTTTTAGCTGAACAAGCAATTAAACGTGGGAGCTGGGGTTGTGTTGGCATTTGAAATGAGGCTTCATAAATACTGTAATAGAAAATACCACAATGATGAGTGATGTTATGTGGTTGCAACATGAAAAGAGCTGGTTAGTGGAGATTGATTCCAGCTCTTCCCAAAAGTCCCATGCTGCTGCAAGATCTGAGGTCAACGGAAAGGAATAGGTGCTTGCTTAATCCATCAAGACAGATTTTCACAAGAACAATACATACAGAAGTTGAAGATTTTCAAGATTTTACGTTGGAAATGTTCTAAATCCTCTGGCTTTTGGACAGGTTATAACCTGTGTTTTGGTTATTCTGTGTGTGAAACCTGTGTGTTAGATTACTGTAGCTGAAAGTTAATGTTTACGGTCAATGTAAGGGCAAAGCAGTGTTTAATGACTCCTGACCAAGTGACCCTGTAGGTGTCAAAGGAGAATCGCTCTGAACAGATCTGACCACTGTTTTCTCCCCTCATATCACTGTGCCATGTCAACCATAAACTCCAGACAACCCCCCTCCTTTTCTTCTGCCTCCTTATTTTCCCTCAGAAGCAGTTAATTCCATTTCCATTTTTCAGCGTACTCTGGTTTAATATGTTGAAAAGAGACCAGACTAATAAGTACTAATTTATGTCAAATCTTGCCAAGGCTCTTTGTTCCTCTGCAGCCGCAGCCTCATCAGGTCACCCTCCAGCTTCTGCTCAGCATTCAATTAAACTCCCTCTTCCCATCAGAGCAGATCACATCAGTGCTGCACCTACTGGCTGCTATAACTGACCAGACCATGCCTGCTCGCCTGCTTGTCTTTCTGCTGCCAGTGCTGTAGTGGACACTGAGGTGGTGGATGTACCATAATCCTGGCAAAACCCATTATGGTTCTGATAAAAAAAGAAACTAATACGTGATCACGCTCTGTATTTTGCAGAGAGACTAATGGGTGAACCCTCCACTATTGCCGTCAACCACTATCCCAGCCCAGCTCCACTCCTCACAAGCTGCTGACAGATATCTGAGCAGCAGGTCAAGCCTGAGTTGGTGCAGAGGTCTGAGATTCCACAGGTGTTGGCTCATGAACTGGGCTGCCTTTGACAGAACTGGGGCTTGGCTGGCATTGGGAAGTATAAAACCTGAGACTGGGCTGACAATCAGGGAGTACAAACAAGGTGGAGCAGCCGTGAAGTGCAGTAAACCACAGAGAGGCCCTGCTTGAGTACTTCTTTCTTTCTCCTTCAGGGAACCAGAGGAAACACAGTCGCTGCCGCCACCATGAGCCGCAGCCCGGAGAGGATCTCGTCCTACCGTCGTCACTTTGAGGACAGCAGCAGCTCATCCTACCAGGTCAGGGTTTCCAGCCCATCCCCCACAAGGAGAGATGCCCGTCATGCCTCCGCCGGCTACTCCTGCAGAGACCGGGGCAGCAGCATGCGTGTGGAGTCAGTGGGACGGAGGACCGTCTCGGCTGCACGCAGGACTCGTATGGTTGGAGCAGGGTAAGCTCTTTCAGCTACAGTACCTACATATGGACAGATGTAGGGTTTATGAGATTATTATTTCCATAGGATTTTTTTTTTTACCTCATGCGAATGTAAGTTCCTCTTCCTCAAGCTCTCTTTTTAGCCAATTTAGAGTAGTTTTTATCCCATAAACCATTCACATATTCTCATGATCCTCCTTCAAATTTGATGTCTGCGGTTGATTTTTCAGTGTGAGTGCAGGAGCCATGGTATGTGTTGGGCCAAGTGGAGAACCTGCTATAGATCTTGACGTGGCTGCAGCTGAGAACCATGAATTCCTCAACACACGCACAAGTGAAAGACAGGAGATGGTCGTCCTCAATGACAGACTGGCTGTATACATTGACAAGGTAAAACAGCCTTTAAACTAAATAAATATATTTGTCAGGCCTGGCTAAAAATGCCCTTGGTTGAAAAATGGTAGCACATTGCTCTCACCTCCGTGAGCACACAGACAGAGAACATTGTTGTGTCTGATTCAGGTGCACTCAAAGTCACAGAGGAGGTTTTCTTGTGCTTACAGGTTCGATCACTTGAGCAGCAGAACAAGTTACTGGAAACAGAGATTGAGGCCTACCAGAACCGCTTTGAGAAGCCATCAGGTCTGCGCCTCTTATATGAGGAACAGCTGAGGGAGCTGAAAAAGATCGCTGACCAGATGAGAGTTCAGCGGGTGAGACAGAATGCTCAAAGCCACACATCACTTCTGTTTCTTTCTTTTTTTTCACATTTCAGATGCTCAAGAGAGCATAAAGACTGGATTCTTTGTTTCCGGCGAGGTTTACACCTCACTGAGCTGTAGAGAATCCATCCAAGCAACTATACAAGACGTCAACTTGGTGTTTTCAAGGTTCCTTACCTGGTAACAGGCTTATTTCTGGCAGGCAAATGGAGAGGTGCCTCAGCGTGTTAAGGTGTCATGGAGTACAGATGTCTTCAGCTATGTTTTATGCACATATGAGATGGCTTTATTATGCATTTGCAGACACACACACACACAAGAGTGAAGTTAAAATATAAAATGGAAAGAAAGATCATCTACATTTTGCACACACCCTTGCACACACCTCTTATCTAATAGATGGTCATATTACTTGCGGTTTCTTGGTTTTCAGGACATCTCCTTGGCGGCTAAAGAGTCCACAGCTGCTCAACTACAGGCAATCAAAATCAAATATGAGGAGGCAATGGAGCTGAGGAGGAAAGCTGAGTTAGACATTGAAGCCTTCCGTCCAGTAGGTTACATTTAATTAGCCAAAATCTTGTTCATAATCAAATTAATTTACAGTCACAAACCCGCATGATAATCATGGTGTGTGTTCTTCAGGATGTTGACAACGCTACCTCCTCACGCATTGCCTTGGAAAAGAAGCTGGAGCAGCTGGAGGTTGAAATTGAATTCCTAAAACGGGTCCATCAACAGGTCGATAACAGCTTCACATAGTAATTACAATTTTAGGTTGCCTCTCATTTTCATGATTACTAAAGACCTTATTTATTTTTTGTCAGGAAATTGATGAGCTCATGAAACAGATCTATGCAGCTCATGCCTCAGCTCAGAGTGCATTCAGTTTACCTGACCTGGCAGCTGCTTTGAAACAAATCCAAACACAGTATGATGACATCGCAGCCAAAAATCTCCAGGTAAAATGATCACACATCACTGTCTGAAGTTAGGTTCTCCTGGGTTCAGAGTAAATTTATGCAAAACTCTCACCCCTCATTTTTAGGAGATGGATTCATGGTATAAAAACAAGTTTGAAGATATAACCAGTAAGTCGTCAAGGCATGTGGGTATGGTTCGAAGCATTAGAGAAGAAATAGCGGGGGCCAAAAAGGACGTGAGTAGCAAAAGTGAAAAAATTTAGATTTATTGACAATTTTTATTGAATAACTATAATGACATAATCATATAAAAATCTCTCAAAGATCCAAAGCAAAGAACGTGACTTGGATACCCTGAGGACCAGGAATGAGGCTCTTGAGGCCCAGATCCGAGAGACGCAAGAAAAGTACAGGAAGGAACTGGAAGAGCTGCAGGTAAAGACAGGTTCAGTGTGCACACCTGGTCACACCAAAGTCAATTGTGAACATGTGCATTTACTTTCATCATGTGGGCACAAAGCCACGACAATAATTCATTCTCTTCAGTCATTTTATGACTCTGCTTACCTAACAGGCTCGGATTGAGGCCCTGCAGCTGGAGCTAAAATCCACCAAGGAGAAAATTGCGCTGCACCTGCGTGAGTACCAGGACCTCCTGAATGTCAAGATGTCTCTGGAGATTGAGATTACAACATACAGGTGAGAGAAAAATAATTATAAAATAGATTTAGTGTCATGAAATATAATAAAATTGCTATAATAATAAATAAAATAATTACCTTTTTAATTATTTATTTTTTCTTGCAGAAAACTTATTGAAGGAGAGGATCTGCGTCTCTCTGGCATGATGCAAACCCTGTCTCTTACCAGCTGTAGCACAACCGCCATTGGTGCTGGGATGAGCTTTAGTGGAGGAGGCATAGGTGGTGCTGGCGGAATGGGTGGTGGGCTGATTGGAGGTAGTGGTGGAGGTGTTGCAGACATGGCTGGTGGTCATGGATTGGGAGCTGGGAGTGGAGGTGGAGGTGTAGGAGCTGGTGCAGGCCGTGTGGGTACTGGTGGAGGCAGTGGAGGGATGGGTGCTGGAGGAATTAGCGGTGTTGGCTCTGGTGTTGGAAGCGTTGGTGCTGGCAGATTGGGCACTGGTGCCGGAGGTGAGGGCACTGGTGCTGGAGGTGAGGGCACTGGTGCTGGAGGTGTGGGCACTGGTGCTGGAGGTGTTGGGGCTGGAGGTGTGGGCACTGGTGCTGGAGGTGTTGGGGCTGGAGGTGTGGGCACTGGTACCGGAGGTGTGGGTGCCAGTGTTGGTGGAAATTTGAGATTCGGCACCAGAGGGAGAGGTGACAGCGGTGTGGGTGCTGTTGGAATAGGTGCAGGTGGTGACGCTGCAGGTTCAGGTGGCATGGGTGGCACTGGCATGGGGTTCAGTGGAGGAAATGGCGTTGTTGGTGGAGGGACGGGTGATGGAATTGGTGGAGGCTTCGATAGGGATGGAGGTAAAGATCGTGGAATGGATCCTGCTGGAATAAGTGGCGGAATCAGAGTTGGTGAAGGAAGAGATGGTGTGGGCGCAGGTGATGTAGGTGCACTGTCAGGCGTTGGTGGAAAGGGAAAAATTGGTGGGGGACTTGGTGACACCAGGGGTGCCGGGATGGGATATGGATCCGATGGATATGATGCAAACAATGATGCCCACGCAGAGCAGGCTGTGGAGCTGACGGAGAGAAGGACGGTGCTCATTAGGTAAAGGTACCATGAGGTATCTTTTCTATTTCAACTTAGTTCCTTTTATTAAGAAAGAATGACTTCAAGTGTTATAACCTGTTTTATGTTGCGGTTATATAAGGACAGTATACAGCTGCTTAGAGGTCCACTTGGAACAAGCTTCTTTTGGTCACTTCACTCCCCTCCATTTTCTTTCCTCCCCTACAGAACAGTCAAAAATGAGGATGACGTGCTGGAGACAGACCACCAGGAACAAACCTACACCATCACCGGTGCAGCCGATGACTCTGATGATGACTGAGCAGCTCAAATTCCCAAGTGACCTCCCCTTGCCCTTAAACCTCCACGCCCCTCAGAGCTTTGCACTCACCAAACCCCATGTCTGGACATTGACCTTTGCCCTTTGCCCTGGAAAACTGACCCTTTGCTACCGAGAGAAACCTTCTCCTCATAGGGTTTAAATATGCCTCACTATCAACATTCAACATGGTCTCTAAACTTTTGTGTGCCTTACACTCCCCCCCTTTTTTCTACTTGTCGCAAATAAAGCTATCAGCATTCAATTACCTTGTCTTTTATTATTCAATGTCTTTTTCTGTGTTTGTGTATCAGGACACAGAATGTTATCCAATAGTATTTCCATGAAGAGCTGGTAAAAGTAATTTTTTTTCTCCATTGAGAGAAATGTTGCTTATTTTCATAGCTTTGGATTAAAGGATAGGGTGAAAAAAGGGAAAAGATGTAGTGAGGGAACATCAAAACACAGAGAAAGATAGAGTCACCTGAGGGTTGAGGCGGTTGTCCTGACACTCTCTGGAGGTCTAAGGAATCCATCAGTCAAATTTTGTCCTGCAGCGAAGTGACGCTGCACAGCCGTTTCCTGTCCTCATTCCATCCACATCCACACCTTTTCCTTGTGCTGCTGATTGGGAGCGATTGGATCTGGCCAGCAGATGCCAAACATACTCAGTGTCCTGCTCAGGGGCTGAGAGCAGAGACATGCAACACACCAATCCTCTGACACAAAGTGCAACAAAAGATAAGAACAGGACCCGTGCTAATATGGCGGAAATAACATTACTGTGCCTTTATTATTATAATGGAGCACAGCTGACTAAAGTCAACTAAAGATCACATACCTAGTAGTTCACAGTGGAATGCTTCTACCTACATTGCATGTAACCCAGTGGAAATAATGCACACATTTAAATGTTTATTGCTTAAAACTTACAATTTTAGAGCTGTGATTAGACCATAGAAAATTTTGGACTGGATTAACACCCCACACTAATTTATAACAGATAACTAAAAGAAATAGGATTTTCTTAGATTTTTTTATACAACCAAACTTGTGATTCAAGTCACAACTTAATGAGAAAAAAGCTAAATTAATTAATTTTAATTAATTTTTAATTTTAATTTGAAGCACCTCGGCATCCTGTATTTAGAGCTCTGTCATTGCTTTATAAGTCATCCTTAGACTGCATGGTGAAAACGGACATCATTTCCACAAGCTCATCCCACCCGAACATGCAGGAGACAATTAGTTTGAACCCAGAACTGTCAGTCGGAGATATAATGAGGGAGCCGCCAGACGGCCATATCATTAGATTACATTTTGTAACAGAGATTTGTTAATGTGCATCCAACCCGAAACATGAATATATATATATAAATCAGCCTATATATATTTACGTTAAATTTCAGGGAGATAAATGCACTGCTCATCAATATGATGGAATGAACTGTATTATCAATATAATTAACAGACAAGGGATTGTGTGAGTCTGCATGTGTGTGGAATGCGGAGCTCTCCATGGTGCCTCGTCCACAGAGTGGAAACACTGACGCACTGGACAAGACGAGTCTAAGGCTATCATTAAAATAAATAAATAAAACGCACATTTCTTAAATTTCACAGGCTACATAAACATTTTAAATTTTAGACACATTTAGACACATTTTATTATTTTAATTTATAAAAATTTTATAATTATTACTATTATATGCTTGATCAAGGCAAAATATTCGGAAAACAGACTGCAAAGCTCTATTTAAAATATATATATATATATATATATATATATATATATATATATATATATATATATATATATATATAATTTTAAATGCTTAAAATAGAACTGAAAAGGGGGAAGAAGTTATATATTATTCAGATATTTGTTCAGATAATTACCATGACGTCGGCTAAAATTTCTGGCCTTACTCAAACATATAGGCCAGTCAAGGTTCCATGTCTTTAAACATGCACTTTGCCATTATAGTTGTTTTGCTCACGCTTTTAGTTTGCAGATGCACAGCGCATAGCCAATTGGGTCACTAACCTTCATCCCATAAGAAAAATGCCGTTTTCCTCAGAGCTGAGGGAAAGAGCTCCTTATATTCACCAAGAAGGGCAAAAGTTGTGACTTTCTTTGAAACCTGTGATTTTCTGTCACTTTGTGCATATGCTTTGGGTGGCTAAATCCCAATTAGGGTCGGCTGACACGCTGCTCCATTCATGCAGAGCCCTGCCTGCATACATTTGCCTAGGAATGAACTTCTCAAATAGATCTCCTGCTAAATGCGTTGGACAGCAGAGAGAATCGGCCTGAGTGACACGTTCTTTCTGAAGCGCTCGAGTGAGAAAAGGTATGAATTTATAAGGTACACCGAAACATATCAATTCACGCAACTTCACACGCTTTTATTCGCGTCTCCTCATGCGAGACAAAGTGAGTTTAAGTCAGGGAAATGTGGCCTGAAAAAGCCCGGCGCAAAAAAAAAACTTTGTAGAGACTTTGAATACCGAAATGGTGCAGCCCACTTCGGGGGGAAGAAGAGAGAAGGCATTTTGAATGAAATCACGCATGAACAGTGTTGAATCAGGTGCCGTTTATACGGCTCCTCTCTAATGCGATTTTGAATATCAGTCTGGGTTAAAATCCCAATCATGTCATCTGGTGGGAGTCCCATACAAGCATAATTACTATTCAAACGCGTCGCTAATATCCCACCCGCATCAAGGCAGCTGGTTTGCCTTTGGTGCAGCTTGCATCTTTCCCCAGATTTATCAGAAAATAAAACACCTTAAATATGATCGGCGGTGGTTTTAAATAAAGAAAAGAAAAAGCGAGGAATAAGACAAACAGGCGTGTCCATAGCTTGTCTCTTCGTCCCGAGAGCGGGCTCAGATCTGAAAGGAATAATAAGAAGTTCTGATTATTTTGCTGGACAGAGTTCAGCCTGTCCAGGAAAGCAAAAGCAAGAGGATTTAACGTTCCCTTTTTTAATAAAAGAGGTGTGACCAAATAAATGTGAGAGGTGCCGAAGTGTAGGCTTACATGTGGAGAAATAAATGGATTTAGACAAACAAAAAGTCATTTCCAAGACGTGGGAATCTGTGAGAAATAGGCCACATTGCTAAGTGGGACAATGATTGGGCTCTTCTGAATAGACCCAAACAAAGTTTATGGGTCGACATAAAAAATGCGTTTTCTTCTGAGCTCAGAGGGGTCTTAAATGGTAGGCCATTGAAACCAGTCCAGGAGAGGTGGTGGTGAACCCTTGGCATCCCTGAAGTATAGTCAAGGAGCATGAATGGAGATCCCTGGTGGGGCATTGCTCTCTGTATTTACCGCGTTGCTTTGCAGACAGGTTGTTCCTCTATATTCATGGCTCATTACTGGCCAACCAGTTAAATCAGAGCCCCACCGTTTAGACAGTTAAAACCCAAAAGAGCCTGTCAAGAGACAGGCAGAGCCCCATAAAAACGTCTCCCCCCTCTCCCAACTCGGACTCTTTTCAGGTCGTTATTTACGTTTATTAAAGAGATGCGGAGTTCGTGGAAGAGAAGCGCACTTGCGGAATGTTGACTCCGCAATATTGTCCCAGAATAAAGATCCGACCATGTAATTAATGTGTCTTTTTCTTTTAAAATAGGATGTGGAACAATAGAGCCGGTCAAGCCATTTCATTTCATTTCATTTTCCATCCCATTTGCTTCCAACACTGTTTTCACTCTGACACGGAACCTTTTGACTGCTCTTCAGGGCTTCAGAGCGCACAGTGGAGCGGGGATTCACCCCAGCGACTTCTCCGCAAACAGAAAAGAAACGTCTTCTTCGTCGCCCCCCTCCCCCTCCCCCACCTTGGAGTATAATTAATTTCACTGTGGAGAAGTACGGGTATTAAAGAAGCGCAGGGGCGGATGGGAACCAGCCGCAAATGGCGAGGCGTTAATAAATAACCCCTCAGCACAGCCAGGCGCAAACATTGCGCCTATTGATGAGATTGTTCGCGTGTCGTTCAGGCTCTTTGACTGAGCGCAGGAGGGAGGAGAGAGAGGAGCAACACGGGATGTCTGAGAGAGAGAGAGGGAGAGATTAATGTGTATGAGTTTATTTACAGCATTTTTATACTTGCTGAACTGTTTAGTTTTTTTTTTTTTTGGGGGGGGGGGGGCAACAAAAGGCAAACTTATTTCAAACAAACTTTAACTGCGGATTGAGCTTCATTGTTGTTCTGTTTGGCTAATTTATTCTTTATTTGATTACAAATGATGCATGCAGGTAAAACTCTTCACTTCTGGACATTTTCCCATTTTATATTATTTATTATAAATTGATGTTTGCAGTAGATTTTTGAACACCACAAGTACTTGTCATGATTCCGCAGTGGACAGGTCAGAGGTCAGCATGTTCATGGTCTGAATTGATCGCCCACAGGTTCTTGTCCTTCTCCTTTGGTCAGATTCATCACCACACTATCAAAAGGCCCAAGAGCTGCTGGAGCCACATTCTCATGATTGTAAGCCTTTGGCAAATACAAGTGAATGTCGTTTGTCAACCCACAAGTGAATTAATCATTTAGGCTCTGGGTCCATCAAAGTTCTTCCTAAAAACGTTTTGAGTGAATGTTGCATTTGTTATTTGGCTATTATGCGTTCACGCGTTAGATAACGCTGTGGAAAAACGTGCATTTCCTTCTGAGAGAATTCTACTTAGAATTACAGAAGCGTTTAAATTGGTATACATAAAAAAAACAAAAAAACAATTGGACATATGAAAAATGGACTGTCACAAAGCTGAAAGCAGGGCTGCTTTTCAAAGCTTGTGAAAAGTTTTGGAAAATACGTGGTTTTCACAAGATATTCAACATTATGCGTTTCAATCAATCATTCAGTGAAGACTCACAATTTGATCATGCATTTAAAATGACCATATTAAACAGAACATTGAAATATTTTAATCCCCTTCTGATTGTCCTCAAATATACTCCATTACCATAAGGTTCCTGTAAAGATTTTCGCTGCATGTGATATTTTAAATAGTCCTGTTTTGTAAAGCTCCGGTTTTGGCATTCATTTTACAGTTTTAAATACCTGAACTGAGCTACCATACATTGTACAATCATGGAAGCATTACCAAAATGATGGTATAATTACTTGTGTGCTCGCATTGTTTCTTGCCCTTGCAGAGCACCTGTGATTTGAACGAGAAAGACGAGACAAGAAAACCACAAGTGTGTGTGCGTTTTGAATATGGTGATGGTTATTTTCTAGTTGTTGTTTTCTCTCTCCCTATCTCTCTCTCCCGCTCTCTCTCTTCCTGCTGGTGGTTCTCCCTTTTCAGTACCTGCCTGATCTCAACCCGGCACACGCCGAGAGTCAATAGAAGTTAACAAGTCCTCTAAACTTTCCTGCTCCTTTTGTTACACTAAGGACACAAAGGAGGAGGGAGAAGAAAGCGCTTTGAAGTGTATAAAACCCAAAGAATGCCAGCCAAGTAGATTTAAAGTAGCCACTGATTTCCAAAACCTGGCTTGAAAGGGAAGAATGGAAAAGGGTGAGGATTTATGGATAAATTATACAGTGGATTTGTCAGTTAAAATATCGGAACTGTCTGGAAGACAAAGCCACATGCTGAGGATTAATGGTCGCTCTGGACCTTTGATTCTGCACCCTCTTTTCTCTGCCCTTGACAAATTGGATTTTGGGGATGGGAAGGTCGCCTGGCTCTTTGTGTCTCTTGACCGTTTTGGAGCAATTCATTATGCGGCGGGGTGAGGGAAAGTCTCCATGTGACCATGCCGGCCCGATTTCCCTCTCCTCACAGCTGCTGGGAGAGCCCAACTCTCTCACACTCACTCACTCAAACACACACAGGCACACACTCGCAAGCTACTGCTGCTGCAAACTCAGGACCCCCCCCCAAACTACCTCTACAGCATCACCTCTCTGCACCCCAGCCCCCCCTCTTCCCTTCCCGAACACACACTTGCATCCTGAGCTGAAGAGGTCGGGAGGGGTTGCATGGGGTGGAGGTGGTGGGGGCTACCTTGCCTGCACCATCACTAGAAAAGCCGGAGAGCTTGACGCCACCGCGTCACTTTGAGGGCGGATATCGGCCGGTCCTCATCCTCTCTTCCTCCTCCTCTTCCTCCTTCCCTGCACTCTCCCTCTCGGTCTCCATCAGTCTTCATGGTTTTGATCTCACCCCACGCCATGCAAGCCACCCGGGCGTCCACCACCGTCAGTGTGTTTGCGGACTGCAGCATCCCGGCCGGGCTCCGGATAGGACCGGTACCGGGCATCTTCAAACTCGGGAAGTACGTGTCGGACCGTAAGGAAGTAGGACCCAAGAAGAAGGTAAGTTTTAAGCACTTAATAGAAGTATTAAAATATAAGCTATGTTTATCTCTAAGTTTTAGTTTTGATTTTACGTTTTTGCTGCAGCCCAAAAAATGTGCCTTATTTTGAAATATTTTGAAATGATGCGGGTTAATCAGGCTCATTGGATAGCTTGGAATAAAGGTTGCATTGCTAGTTATTTTAAAATTCAAAATAAAGAACTTGTGCTATTTTTAACAATTTAAAAGTTTGTAAAAAAAATAATTTAAAGTTTTTGTTCTGATTACAAAAAATAACCACCTTAATAATAGGCACACATTTTTGTTTTCCCTTTAAATTTAAGTGTGTAAAAACGAACGGCCTGGATTTGGATTTCAAAGCTGCACTGTCAAACACCATCGGGCCTTCAGTTATTAATTGGTTTGGCCTGTCACGTTGGAAATAATTGAGCTCCATTAGTGGCCGACTTGTCAGTCTGTGCTTCTACTTAACCGGCCTAATGGGCGACCCAAGTCTGCAGTGTGGGATTTCATGCCCTAGCCGCCTCACGTTTCACTGCCTGGCGGGCCTGTTATCCAGATGAGCGTTTAATTTTAATGTAATCCGGCCACAGAAAGCTGCCACTGAGCCGGGGCCCGCAGCCAGGGGCTAGGGAAAATGATGATAACAACAATAATAATAATAATAACAGCGATAAAAGATCAAATTGAACAAAGTGAATTCATGTTATTGGATTGAGATTGTTAACAGCAGTGTGGTGGTGAATAATGCATTTACAGTTTTAAAGAAGAGAATTACAAAACACAATAGATAAATGGCTAAAAGTCTTTAGACATCAAATATTAAAAAACAAGAAACTTCTCAAAAATTCTCAGTTATTTTTACACGCACTGGAGTAAACAATGTGCGGCATTAAGTGCATCTATAACCGCACCCTGTTATTGTTAAAGCTGTCAGCGGTTGTGATTGATGCGTCTAAATGCTTGGCCCCGGGGCTGCCGGCGATCATCAGGTGCAATCTCTGTGTCAAATGTCCTGCTTCAATCTTTAACGTCCTTGAACAGTTTAGAAACGCTCTGACACTCCTCAAATTCGTTTCCCATATCAACTCAATTAGGCCCGTGTGTCATTCTCTTTAGTAAATGACCAGCAGAGCGGATAAAGACGCATTAAGCGCGTCGTGGTCATGCGCGGGCGCAACACCTCCAGGTAAAAGCGCACACAAAATTGGCCAACAATATATTGGTGGGAAAATCCGTTCAGCAAAATATAAATATAAACGAATAAATGAATGAAAACAATAAAAAGAGGGCTTCATAATTTTTTTTTAAATGTGTTGCTTATGGATTCATTTATGTAGCCTATCTGTTCCAACGCATCTGTGTGTGTTTGTCTGTGAGGTGAGACATGTTAAAGTGCCTTGCTGTTCATATTTCATATCATATTCAGTTGTCATGCCCATTCTGACTTTTTTTTGCTGGCTTAGATTCGATTGGTACGGGGAGAGTTCGTGGATGAGTCCGGCTGTCACGTGCCAGACTGGATCGGATTCATCCGCGCCGCCAGGAACAGCCAAGAGCAAAACCTGGAGGCTGTGTCGGACTTACCCGTCGGACAGGTGAATATTCATCACATCACATTTGTCCACACACTTGTAGGCCAATATAAGACGACCCCCCCCCCCCACACACACACACACTTCCCTTGGAAACTTCAGATAACTTCTTCGCTTATTTTGTGCTTTAAGATTTTTTACCGCGTGCTGAGAGAAATCCCTGCAGGAGAGGAGCTCAGTGTTTGGTACTCCAACGCTCTGGCACAGTTGTACGACATCCCCACCACGGCCACTCCCACGCACGACGAGAAAGGTAAGTAGCCTACTGCTAATAATGACGGGTTTAAACGGCCATTTGTCTGAAAAAAAAAAAGATAGCAGATGAGGGTTTATAATAATAATAATAATAATAATAATAATAATAATAAATAATAATATAATAATAACTGGCGTATTTATTGCATATAAATATGTTTAATATGAATTCTGGTGTCAGTCAAAAAAGGTGACCAACTGGGCCTGCCCTCAGCGTCACAGAGAGGGCTGACACTGACGTAGCATCGACATGTTGAGGGATCACAATTAAATAATTAAATGGCCAATACCGGTGATGTCCCATGTTGTGCAGAGATGTAAATCGATTGTATGTTGTGTTTTCCCTCAAGCAAATTTATTCCTTCGTTTTTGTCATTTATTAATTTCTTTAATATGGAATCGAAAAAGATTTTTATTCAATAAAATAAAAATAAATGTAAGATTAACTTTATTCTGGAAAATATGTGTAAGCCTAATTAAAGGCATGAAAATATTACTACAACAGTAATAATTGGGATCAGTAATTTAGCCAGATGAAGGTGTAAGCCGCTAATGATTAAATATTGAATCAAATAAATCTGATTGCAATAATATCAGAGACAACACAGGACATAAATTACAAAGCGGAAGAAATAAGGCATAGCTCAATCTCATGCAGCATTAATGACCAAAGATATTCTGGACTTTCAGGAGATCTGATGATTTCTTCTGGTTTTTGGAATTTCAATCGGTTTGTTTGGGCTAGTAGTAATTTGGTGTTTGCGCTTGGGGATTATTCCTTAATCTTCTCAAAACACCAGCTCAACGGGAACTAATCCGTTTGAAAAAGAGAGAGAAAAGAGAGATTATTATCAACAGATGCAGGGGATTCCATCAATTGGCGAGGATTTTAATTGATACTTATACTTTATTTGGACTTAGAGGGGCCTCTTAACCAATTCAATAGGCTATATGTAAAAGCAAAATCTCGAAGCTTCATGATATCAAACTCGGGTCGAGAAAACATTTCTAATTGTGTTAAAGTAATTACGGTGCTTGAAACGGATTTTTAAAAAGCAATTAAAAGCAGAAACTGATGTGTCTCTGCGACCATGGAGGAAGAAGAGGCTGTTTCAGCTGCAGACGGAGGTTAACAAATGTCATCGCGTCGTTAATATTCATGTATTCAAAAGCAAATAAATTCAAAAACAAGTGCTTCACGGTGAATTAGATGGGTGCGTCAAGGTATTGTGGCCTAATGAATGCTAACTTTTATGTGGAGTGTATATTGCCCTGATTCTCCGGCCCGACACACCGTGTGCGCTCCTGGACATACGCTCTCTCCCATTATTAGGCGTCAACAGATGGGCCGCCGCCATTGTTTCTGGAGACTTGCGATTTCAAGCAACAGCTGCTGTCACTTCCACGGGAAAGAGCACAGAGAGGGAAGTCCCGCATTCAATGCATTGGTTTCTGAGCGCCAGATTGGGCAGGGCGTTTGCTCTTTTGATGACGATCATAAACAATGACCCGCATGAAGATTACAAAATCATTACAGCTCTATTAACCACTGAGTGTTCGACTGGGGGTCATTAAGATGGCCTCCTGTGTCTAATACCATTTGGCACTAGATCTTAGAAACCGGATCATATCCATTAGGGCCTAAATTTAAAATCAAGTGACGCGCGGCAGTGACTGATGAAAACGTTGGTCTTTAAAATTATATTTTCATCGATAATATGTTGCAATGCTTTAATATGACAGTCCTTACTGATGTAAATTCACTGCAAAATGCATTTATATAACATTACACCCTCTGCTCAATGTATCTGCGCTGTTGTGTCTAGTTACGGTGCTATTAGAGGAAGAGGAGGGTCACTTATCTGTGAAGGCACTCACAGGTTTTTTTCTCATAAACTGTTATTCTTATTTTCATTTTACGCCTGGGGCGTCGCATTTTACGCACAGGAATTCTGTCATCAGAATTATATTATCTGACTTCACACAGTGTTGTTCGACTTAATGATCCGCATCCATCTGATCACTGATTTCATGTTTGCTGTTGTCTGCACAGGTGAGGAGCGTTACATCTGCTGGTACTGCTGGAGAATATTCAAATACCCGAACACACTCAAGGCCCACGTCCACTTCCACTGCGCCCTGAGCAACGGACGGGGGTTTGTGAATAGCGAGCAGCCCAGAGGCACGGAGACCTTCAGCAGGTCACCAAAGTCTGGAGACATCCCCAACACCTCCACCTCTCCGAGGGGCGGTCACAGTAACTCCTCCATCTCAGACTCTGGCAGGCGGGCGGTGTCCTCCTCACCGTTTCTCAACAAAGTGGGACTGTCAAAGAAAAGCAGCTCAGAGGAGCAGGACAGGGCCCTCGACATGAGCGTTACCTCAGCCAGAAACCAAGGACACATCCTCGGCCTCGGCGCCACATCCTCAATGCTGAGCAGCATGGGTTTCCACCCCGGTGTGCGCTCTGCCTTCAAGCCGACCGGCGTCTCCAAAGTCACGGGCGCGGACGCTTCCAGAGAGGACGCAAATGGGAAGCTGGGCGGCCTGGGATTCGGAAAACTCATTGGAAACATGAAACCAATCCGCAACGTTGGCGATACTCTAAATGGAGGAGGGAGCCACCCTCCCAAGTGCACACCTGCAATTATGGACTCATCTTCGATAGTGCCATGCACAAACGGTATCCGAGGTTTCCCGATGTTGCCTCACATGGAGGAGACCTCTGCTTTTAAGCACGTAGAGAGTCGGATGCACTCCGGCCTGTCCCCGTCTCGGTACCCACAGATGCCCCCTGGACTCCATTTTGAGAGGTTCTCTCTCCCTCACTTCGACGGTGTTAAGACTTATAGTGGAGACTGTAACATCCCACTCATGCCCTTCACTGTCTATAACGGGGAGCTTCTGTACAGCTCACCCTACTATCCGCTGAAATTCCACTTCAGCAACCTCCTCAAGTACCCGGAGTCCATGTCCTACTTCGGTGCGCCCTCACTGAACCAAGACCTGGGCTCCATCACCAACATCGACCGGGAGATCGCCATGCACACGCAACAGCTGTCTGAAATCGCCGCGGAGAAGAACCGAACGAGGCTGGACTCGATGCCCACAGGGAGCGCCAGCACCCCCGGGTCTGGCAAACCGAAAAAGGGACATCTGTGTCTATACTGTGGCAAGCTGTACTCCAGGAAATACGGCCTGAAAATCCACATGAGGACTCACACAGGTTACAAGCCGCTCAAGTGCAAAGTGTGCTTCAGGCCGTTTGGAGACCCCAGCAACCTGAACAAACACATCCGGCTCCACGCTGAGGGGAACACCCCCTACAGGTGCGACTTCTGCGGGAAGGTACTGGTGCGGAGGCGGGACCTGGAGAGGCACGTGAAGTCCAGGCATCCCGGGCAGACCGTCAAGAAACTGGATGACAAACCGGTCGGCCTGTTCGAGGACGCAGAGCACAAGAGCGACAATGACAGTGATGTGGACGTGTGCTTCACCGACGACCAGAGCGACCAAGAGTCGACCAAAAATAATGACTGAGATGTTTTCATGCCCACAGAAGGACTGCTCATTGACTTTAAATTATGTAGCCTACACAACAAAACGTGTCATTTAGGCTTGTACTGAATCTTGAACTGTTTTATTTATATTTTTGAATTTTAGACATTGACCCAAGGGCGTCTGAACTGGTCACCAAATGTCCAAACTTAATCATAATTCGCAGTTGAAATATTGCTTTTTGACACGTGTGACATATTGGGTCGGTGCACGTACATATAAAAAGTTCACATCCATATATTTAGTTTTTGTCACAGTAATCGGGCAGGTAAAATCATCAGCGTCTTGCTCAAGGACGCTTCAACAGTGTTTCTCTGCTGCAGAAAAAAACAATCTGTGGCCTTTTGGAGTTTGGCAGGCTTTCTTGACCATGCTAAAAAAAATACTGCCAGTAGTGTTCCAGAAATTTTCGTTTGTTTCAAATGCAAATGCACTCTATTGTTTTGATATTTGTTATGCAAATGGTGAATTGTGTCTTAATCTTCTGCGTGTTAAAAATACTGACACTTCAACAAAACCATGAAAACAACTGCGCGCATAACAAGAACAATGATCCAACATCAGTTACAGACATTTTCAGGTGCTTTAAAAAAAACTGTCAAGGCTGATTATGAGGCTAAATGTCTTTTGTATTATGTCTCGCCCTGAGAAAGGATATATGGTTTTGAAAGATTTACTTAACTAAAGGCCTCATCCAAAAAACAAGCACTACATTCCATCAGACTGGATGTGGACACACTCTGGGAAGTTATGAGCTGCAAAAGAATATGATTCTTTAAAAAAAAAAAAAATTAGTTTCCCTTTTATTGTGAATAAAAATGAGCAACACATTCACATTATTCCAATATTCCCTTCTAAACTGTCAGTTGCACTTTAAAAACAGCAATGGGCATTTCATTTCAACAAAGCAGATGCGTAATGATTATTAAAACTGAACTTTTTTCACCCCCCTCATTATTAAAGATCTCTGATTCCCTGCGCCTCATTGAATAACACACTGTACTTTAATTTGCACTTTCTTGCCGAGGCGCGCTGTTCTTAAAGAAGCAGCCGGCAGCAGCGCCCAGTTTATTTAAGGAATTATTTTCCAGAGAAAGAAAATTGCATTGATTGCAGTTATAGCCTATGTAAAGAAGTGTACAGTATGATATTTCACATTTCAGTGGAGAAGTGTTGTATACGTTTGTTTATAAGTGACATTGTCTATGAGCACAGAATTTTACTCCTGTCCATTAAGTCGTTGGTTTTTAAATAAATTTAATTTAAAATGTCAAAAAAAAAAGAAGTTGTTTGAGGTTTTCTTTTTTCTCTCCTTTTTTATCCCAGAAATGAAATGAATGAATAACAACGCTCCAACACCCTTTTCAATGCAAAACCCGATTGAAGTTATGTGCAAACATTCATTAACTTTAATGTTTTGTTTTGTGTGACGCAATCAGCCGTAGGAAAGTCGGCGTTGTTGGATTAGGGTTAAATTCCCTCTTTATGACGCAGTAAGAAATCTGCATCTGAGCCCCGTCAGCCATTAAGACTGATGAGCCGCCATAGGGTACACTATTTCTTTTTATTTCTTCTTCCAATAATAATAATAATAATAATAATAATAATAATAATATAATAAACTAATTGCAAGTTTTGGTTGATTTTGTTGTAAATAGATTATCCCCGTTTTCCAATCATTCACACAACCCAAATAGGCCTACAAATCTTGAGGTGTCTTTCTGCCAGAACTCTACATCTGACAGTCTAGGAAGTCTTCAGATAGTGTACATTCTGCATTAAAATGTCAGCTAACAGTATGAAAAGTAAAGCCAGCCTCTGTGATTGTTATGCTTTTACATGATGTAATTATTTATATTTATTTATTTATTTATACTGTTTAATTATAATATTTCTGTTGTGGAGGTGGAGCTAATCCTAACTATTTGATTTACTGTTGGGTAGTTTCATCTTTAAAAATGTGTCAGCTGTATGTTTTCTGTGTAAACATTTGATTTACAAGGTTTCTCTCTGAAATGTAGTGGAGTAGAAGAATAAAGTGGCATAAATGGTAATACTTAAGTTCAAGTAGCACACATTTCTAGTTAAATACAGTAGCTACATTCCACCACTATTTTCATCACTATCCCATTTTACTTGATCAATGATCCTGATCAGAGGACACTAAGATTTTTAAGAGCTGAACCAAAAGCAAATGTAAACATGCAGTCTATCTAAACCAGAAGCCTCTAGTTGCTTTGGCAAATGAATAACTGCAGCTTGTCCATTGAAAAGGTGGATTAAGAAGTCAGAAAAGAAGATTTGGCCATTTGAAATCATCACAAGGAAAAATCTATTTAAATTCAACCTAAAATGTGAATATTGAATTTGTTATTGTGCTCCAAGGAGTTTGTGTCCTTTAAAATGTTTGCATTTTCTCGAGCAGCTTTGCAGCTTTGTTTAATTATTTAGGCAAGGGTTTTGAGGTGGGAAAATAAAAGCTGCCACCTCCTATCTGGATGTAGTGAACTCCAGCAGGCTTCGTATGCCATCAGTTCAGCGGTTGCCTTCCACACACAGAACAGGAGAGAAAACAACTGCAGCCATTTTTGAGACATTCCAGTGAAGTGAACCATGCTATTATAATCTGGACAGTAGTAGGCCCCACTTCTCTTGACTATATTTCCGTATATTTCCATATATATTTCTATTTAATATTTTTTGTCTTAAAATACAAGTTCCTTCCACCCTACAACTACCTGGTATTTGTGCTTTGTTTTGCACACAATTTCCCTTGGCTGTGAGATGACTGTTATGATTAAGTGCAATGGGCAAATAAAGAGCAGACATCCCATGTTGACAGTCACTGGCAATTTCATACTTTAAATTGGCCGCTGGTGAATGAACTCCTCCTTTCTACAAGATGCAAAGGCAGCATAGTGTGACCTTGTTGTAGCATACTGATTCCATTAGAGACAATTTTAAGGAATCTGCCTACAGTTTGCCTCAATACTGTACCTCCTCTGCCGATGCTTCTGTTTAATTTAATGTCATAGCGGTGAAACTGGAAAAACATTTCAAAAATACACATAGTTTATAAATAATTTTATAAATCTCACATAATATAATTGATTTATAAACATTCTATGTGACAACTTACACTACTGGTGCATCATGGACTGAGGTACCATATGTTCCCTTTCAGAAATGTAACGCTGAAAAATGAATAGACTTTCCCAGCATTACACACACATTGATTTTCTAGGACATAAAATGATCAGGTAAAATTAATGGAATCATGGACAGACAAAGCAGACAAAGCCAAAAATAGATATTTAATAAGACATCATGTCACCATTTGAGACTTTTAGTGTGCAAGTTCTCTGTCACGTTGAAAATTCTTTCAAATGTGGGTATTTCTAAAGAAGATACAAAGATGATGAAGATGTGTGCACTCACAATATGTGAAAACAAAAACTAAGTATTTCTGAACCTCACTCACATTTCATTAACTCTGTTATTTTGTTTGGGTGCTTACCATTGACCAACGAGTGGCCTGCATCCATTGTGTCACTGGCAAAAATACTGTGCAAGGTCCTCTCTTGTATTTTACTCACATTTTACAAAATAGTTTCTCCTCCGTGCATGTAACTACTTCCTTTTACTTACCAGTCTTGATGTAAAGTAAACACTGGAGTCCGACAATGATGCTGACCGCCTTCCAGTTTCTAATAGCTATGAAAACGATGCTATGGTGCATCTATCACTTAAGCGACATCAGGATGTCACATATGTTGTTTCATAAAGTCTGTTAGCAGTGCTTGAATTGGAATAAAAAGGAGACAGCCTGCCTAACATGCACATGCAGAATTTTTGAGGGTACAAATTAGTACATTATGAAATACAAATGGCTATCAGTGTTGGGCAAGTTACCCACTTGTCACATCTTCAATATATATAATATGTATTTTTTGTTGAACAAGCAGCCACTACTGCATCCGCTCACCTCCTGTTCCTGCTCCAAGCTAACATACCATTCTGTCCACTGATTGCTGAGAGACAAAACTGATATCAACTGTCAAAACAGCGAACAAGCCAAACCCACATAATGTCCAAGTGACCGAGCTTTACTGGGATTAGTAACTGTAATGTACAGAAATCCCTGAATTGAAGAATGTAGCCGTACTTTTCGTTACTGAAAAAAGCCATCACAGTACTGGAATGTGTTACTAAGTAATGCTCTACTGCCCAACACTGTGTGTGCACAAGTTACCAAAAACCTTCAATGAGATACAGTACCTGATGAGCTCTCTACAGAGTAGACAATTTATTGTCAAAACCAGGGGGCAAACTAGACAACAGTTTGTACTTCACACAGCTGCCCACTTTTGCTTTTACTTTAGGCTTGTTTGAGCAAGAAATGGGCTCACTTTGCCTGACACTTACAATAACGACACCACGAATACCTCCATTCATTAGAAAGTGACTGTACTGAATTGGACAGAAATCTAATGCGCTGGTATTCAATACTGGTGTTGGAGCATTCCAATTCAAGCAGTCTTATTTGTCAATGGTTTTGAGAGGAAGCTTTGACTCTGTCACTGGAACATTTGGCCTTTTTCCATCCAGATAACAGCTGCACAAAGTGAAGCAGTGCAGATATCTTGAGGTTTTTCCATTAGAGAGGGCGAAATGGATGGTGGGGTTGAATGCGAGCCAGGTGCCCGTGATGGTAAAGATTGAACTGAACAACAAAGCAAAGCTTTTCATTTGCTGGTTCACCTACTGGCCACAAGCTTTGGATAGTGCTGGAAAGAATGAGATTGCAATGCAAGCCATCAAATTAGATTTTCCCATAGGGATGGTGACTTCTCTCAATAGATGAGTTCAGTGACTGCATACGCAAGCTAGCTTGGTTGCAAGGAATTATCCGGGCTGGGTTCTTCTTTTGTTCTTTGCAGGTGACTGTAATGTGATGCATTTACCTTCTAGGTGGCTCACATTTATTCCCTAGCATAAAGTCAGTTTAAGACAAATAGAAGACATAGCACAAAAAATCCCTGCGCAGAATGTTTACCAAACATGTATTCTCATTATAATTGCCCACAAATGCACACCATGATTCAACCCACATGAATTGTGTGTAATTACTCCAAAGGGTTTTCACTCTCAGCAGGGGAGTGGCTTCAGAGAGCTGGA